CCCCCGGGCTGATGAAGAGCAGGTGAGCGGGGACAAGAGGGCGACGTGTTCTCACCTGTACAACTCTGGAAAACTCCTCGTACACTCGCTTCTTCAGGTGAGCCGCCATGTTCCGGAGTGGAGGTGGTTAGCTTAGCTTAGCTTAGCTTAGCTCGTCTCGAGCGGCGACATCAAACTGTCCCAGTCGGCTCCCGTAGCGAGGCTGACCCGCGGTTTGTAAATCCCGCTGCTCCTGAACGGCTCCGGTTATTTATTCATCTGTTTCTTAAAGATCTTCTCTTCGTCTCCACTCGAACCGACTGAACCACCGGGATCGAACCACCGACAGCCGATCGACAAACCAGAGAGCTTGATTCAAAGTCAAGCAACTTTATTTAAAATGTCTGTGTAAAACAATAAAACTAAATCAATAACGAAACTAATGTGAAGCTCCAGGGTCACACAAAGGACACGTGGAGATATAAATACAGCTGATATGAGAACAACCTGACACAGTTTGTGTTGAACACCTGTTTTTGAAATGTGTGTGATTCAGTTGTACTTTATTTAAGATCAGTCAGATGATATGTTGACATTTAATAATCATGATTGAAAAAAGGTCAATTTATTACAAAAAGAAAAATGAAGCAGTTCTTTAAATTACATTTATTTGTGCTGATTTCAACTCACATGGTTAATTGATCCTGCAATCTGCATCTATTGTACAAACACTCTCAATTCTACAGTAAAATTTGACACAATTACAAGACATATTTCTAGTTTTGATAAATTCAAGAAGAAAGCGGTGAAGCTGTTTGATGCCAACAACAGCCAACAATTAACTGAACTAATGAAATCTGATTCTTTACATCAAACTACTTCCTCTCTTTCTATTTTGTTTCTCTGTCTGGTTCAGTTTCTGTGTGAAATGCCTGATAAAATAAACCATGTGGTACAGTGGTCAGCAGTCAGCTTATTTGCTGCATCTGGATTTCAGCTGCAGATGTTTTGGTTCTGTGACGGCCTCCTCTCCACGTGAAGAATCCCACTGTGATCACCATGAGCGGCAGAGCCACACAGAGCACAATGTGGCTGACGTGCTGCCGCTCTGAACAAACCGTGAGCGATGACGGAGTCACTTCTTGGTCTGTGGACGGATTTTGGAACAGGAAGCTGGACGTGAAATCCTGAAACACCGCCCTGCTGTTTCGTGTGGCGTTTAGCTGACATCGCCACTTCCTGTGGTTGTCTTCCACCAAGAGTTTTGTGACCAGAGTGCTGTTGCAACGTGTGCGGCTGATCAGCTCGAACCTGCGGAGATCATCAGAGAAACACAGCTGACAGTCAAATCATCCCTCTGCACCACAGAACTATTGAATACTATGAAAAACAAATGAAGGTGGACGCTCCAAACCACAGTTCAAATGTGAAAGTGTCTATATTAACAAATATACGTGAGAGAAGCTCGACGACCTGCTCTCTCTGGGCAGCACAGCACCGTCCGCAGTCACCCAGCTGAGGCTGAAGTCGTTGGAGTACGGCTGACAGGTCCCAGTATCATAGAAAGAAAACAGGATGCAGCTCAGGATGAGGCTTCCTCCAGGCTGCAGGTCTGCGATACTGGAAAGTGCAGAGATAGTGAGGAGAGAGAGGTAAACGTTGCTGATGGGTTTTGCACCCTCGAAGCAGATGTACGAGCCGACGTCATCAACCCTGAGGTCATGGAAGTGCAGAGAGCAGTTGGCTGTGATGGACAAGCGGCCGCTCTTGTCGGAGTTGTTGTTCACCTGGCCCTTGATGACCTCGTGGGTGTAGGTCACCTGAGAGCCCTCGTATAAGGTCCAGGAGATGAGGGAGCAGTTTGAGGGAACCGGGTTGCTGCAAGGCAGGAGGGCGTCACCTCCAACTCTGCTGTACACAAACACTGAATCTTCGCTGCACCACACGCCTGGAAACACAAGAACATCTGTCAACAGTTCAGATGGCTGCATTTCCCTGCTCACCTGCCTCAGTAAATCTTGTGGATCCAGAACGCTGCCACCAAATAATTGTGGCCGGGCTCTGATCAGTGCTCACTGCTCGTCACACCCGACTAAAGGTTATCCTTTCACTTCATGTTCTGCAGTATCTGTCAAAGTTTGTTTTTGAAAGAAAAACTGAAAACCCATTGAATTTGACCCATGTATCGTGATTTTATTAACGAGAAACACATTGTGACTGTGGTCTGAGAAAGGTGCCATATTTTAAATCAACGTAGTTTGACCAGAAATTCATTTTCAGTAAATGTCCTCCTGTCTTTACACTTCATCAGATTCACGGTCGTGGTGATTAGATATCAAGCTTCACACGACCGGGCCCCTGCTCACATTAAACAACTGCTGCACATCAGACCGGCGGGAACCTGAGCTCCTCACATCAGGGACTGTTCGTTGTTCCTCTCCGCAGGTTAAAGACCAAAGTAAACTGTGCATCAAAGTTTTGTTGCTCTTTGGAATTTATTCCATTCGACCAACGTTCTATCAACTTGGGGACATTTTCAAAAAAACAACTAAGACTCATCTGTTTAAAGCTTTTAAAAAAATACATTTGAATATTTGTGTTGAGTCTTGCTCTTTGTGTTTGTGTGTAAAGTGACTTCTGTAATGGAAGTTACTAAACGTTCTCTTTCCCTCTCCCATCAATCATCTAACGACCCCTCCGATTTCTTTGGACCTTTGTGAGCAGATCGTTAAGTTTGGAACCAAACCTGTGTACAGTTAAAACCTCCAGCAGTCGTAGCTGTACTTTTACTCTGCAAATTGAAGTACTTGTTGCAAATACCTGTCAGAAGCAGACTGGTGATCATCAGCAGGACTCTCATCATGGTTGCTTTCTCGTTGACAGCGACTCCGTTTGTCTCCGTGCTGCTGCCGCTCCCTCATCGAGACTCACTTCCTGTGTGACAGTGGACTGACCTGATTCTGTGAAGCATTCGCCTCCTGCTAGAAAACAGCGTTCAGTGTGTGTGTGGCTCCTTAGAGAGTGAACATATTTCATCTGAGGTCCGATTCATGAACAGCATCAAATGATTTCCACTTACTCCAGAGCTTTCACCCACATGTTATGATGAAGATGAAGATGAAGATGTTCATGAGATGTGGCTGAAAGGACAATTAGTGCAGGTGATCAGTGATATGCTGCGTTTACTGACTGAAGCATCAATGGCCATTAAATCACAGACGCAGCACCCTGAGAGAAACTGACATGATATTTTTCTCACCAGAAGTTTTGGTTTCTGACCATTTGTTTTGGAGGAGCTCCTTAAAGTTTGTTGTGGATCCAGAATAAGCGAGATCGGTCATTTTGAAACATATTTGTTGAGAGAACAACTCTGAAGAACCAATCAGACGTGTTTAGACGACTGATATTTATGCGTGTGTGTGTGATTTGGTGCAGATCCAAATGAAAATCAGGCTCAAGTGAATTGAATTGTGGTTTCATAAGACAGTTGGAGGTGTGAACTCTACGTCGTGATGTCATGGTTAACACAGGATTCTGTCTGAATACACAGAACCTGCGTCAGAGGAAGTAAACTGCCATTTTCATGGTAAACAAAGATGAAACCATGTAGTTGTTCAGCTGTGGTCGGAGGTGTGAGAGGGACGTCGTTTCTCCAGTGGTACACGGAAGAATCTCAGAAATATTATCATATCATTTTTATAAAATTGACACTAGTGTTCAAAAACACGACAGTCGTGGCTCCAAATGTGAAATATTCTGAAGGAAGGACCAAATGAGGATGAGAGTGAAGTGGCCGCCAACAGTAAACATGCGATAAATAAATTGTAATGGAATTTCTGCTGTCTTGTTCTCGTCCTGCTTACTTAAGAGCGCTGACATTCAGATGAACTCATCATAAATCATTTTCTCATTAGGAACAAACCTTCCTCCTGCAGGATCTGTCTGCAGCTGGACAGGTTAGGCCTTCGTCGCTGTATTTTAATGTCGGTCATCACAGTGGTGCTCGGAGAACCTAATGTCTTCGGAGGTACATGGTGTAAAAAGTTTGAGAACTGAACTCATTATTTTCTTCTTCAAAGTCTAAACATGAGACAAATCTACAATCCATACAACTCAAATCTGTAATGTTGTGATGTAACATACCTGAAGCATGTAACATGTCCTGCTGATGCACGAGTACCACTTCTCCATCTTTCTCCCAGATCCGGATCAGATCCCCGTCAGCTGGACTCTACTCTGCAGAGCTTCATGTTTCCCCTCCCAGTCGTTTCCCCCTCTCTGGTTCTCCTGGTGCTGGAGCTGAAGATCAGCCCTCAGGGAGACGTTTTCTTCCTCCTTCACTTCTATCACCCTCTTCAGATCTATGAGCTCTATGTGCTGAGTCCACAGACTTCTTCATGTCGACCGAAGTCATCACTGGCCTGACACAGCTGTGAGGCAGTGGAGTCTGTCTGCTTCCCCAGAGCAGCGTTTGCTGCAGACTGCTCCTTCAGAGCTGCATTGTCTTCAGCCAGAGCAGCATTGGTCACATCCAGCTGCGTCTTCAGATCCTTGTTTCTTGCAGCCAGATCATTGTTTTCTGCAGCCAGAGCAAAGTTTCTTGAAGCGAGAGCAGTGTTTCTTGCAGCCTGCTCCTTCAGAGCAGCATTGTCTTCAGTCAGAACTGTATTCTCTGCAGTCAGCTGACCTATCCTGTTTACGAGATCAATGACTCCTGCAGTTAGAGCAGAGAGTCCTGCTGCCTGCTTTGCAGCCTGCTCCTTCAGGGCTGCATTCTGAGCAGCCGGCTCCATCTTCGCCTGAGTTTTGTTTTTGTTTACAGTTCAAAACACAGTCCTGACTTCAGATATGTTCAAAGACACAGAGCTGAGTTCATTTAAGTCATTTACACACGTCTGTAAAACTACTGTGAAGGAAGATGAAGAAATAAAAGACAGTTGTGTTTTGAAGATCTGAAGTGTTGCCCCTCATCCACAACAACCACCTGAAATACTCAGAGGACACTAAAGTTCTGGCTCTGATCACTGACTCCGTGTTAGATCATCGCAGTGCCTCCACTTCCATGTTGGTCGGTCACACGCAGCCAAAGACATATGTTGTAATTATAATAAGTTTATTGTCGTTACAATTTGTTTCAAAAAGAGGATAAATAACCACAAGAAAAAAAGACAAGCAGCAAAATAAAACAATGACATTTAAAAATCAAATACAAGACGTTTCTAACATTTGGACCATTGGTCGTTGATTCTCGGCTGTTAAATCTTTCATCTCACATCTGAGAAGTGATCCATCCACGACCACGCGACACGAGGCAACGTTACGTCCTCCACAAAGAGACATGTAGGAAGGTTCTGGAGAGAAGATCAATGCTGCCAACGTACCGCACCAGCGACAGCAGGATCCATACAGAGAAAGTATCACTGCCAATACGACAACAGACAAATCAGGAGAGCAGCGAGCGACGGAAGAGGTGGAGTGATGGATGGATGAAAGAGAGAGAGGAGTCATTTGGAGGAGAGGAAGCTGTGTGAGTTTAAATGAGGTATTATTATTATTATTATCTATCTGCTGTCGTTGATTTTAAATGACATTGTATTATTTAGCTTCTTTGGTTTTCTTGTAATTCCTCCTCTCAGCTGTTTGAACGACCCTCTATAACTTAGGTCATTATTATCTTTACTTCATGGCTCTCGATCGTGAGCACCTGGGTCTCTTATGTGAAACGCTCACTTGAGGTTGTTTTTTTCACAAAGGAAGTGGTCGGGCACGGAGCTGTCATAAAACCTGCCCTGCTCTGTGGTGAGGACTCGTTGCTCTGACACTCACCTTCAGCTTTGAGGTTTTAAAGTATTTATTGTGTCTTTACATTTGGGTCAACTCACTGTTGAGTACAAGATACTTCGTACTAACTGAATTTCCTTTTACCATCAAATCTAACAAATGTCTTTAAAGATATTTCAAAGATGGATAAAAGTATTTGTCAGGTAAAATCCTCCACACGGTCGAGTGAGTGTCTTTTCTCCTGCAGCAGATCAAAAACATAAAAGATGAAACAGTAAGTTTACAGTTTTACAGTTTATTAACGTTTAGCAGCAGTAAAACACGACTTCACCAACAGAACACAGGATAAGAAACTATCGTTACATACATGAGCACCAGAATGTTTTATTAGATAAAGGTCTTCACTTCAACACGGAGCCTCTGTACTGACCCCTGGTGTTTAAACTGGTGAGTGAACAGAATCAACTTTTACTTTGACCGAACAAACTAATTCATCTAAAATACTGTGGAAACTTGGAAACAGGGTTTTTTAAGAAAATGTATTAATTCGTTGGCTGTTTTTCTTAACGGAGGATTGAAACTGTCAAAAATAAAGAAATAGAAGATTCATTAAGAGATGAATACATTGAATTG